AAATCATTTCACTTCATGTAAGAAAATAATTTGCTATTGCATCACTGATTGCATGTTGTTTCTTTATTAATAATGTTCATTGAGTAGGGGCGGGGGTACCGCTCAGCGGTAGAGCACATGCTTAGCCTATAGGAGGCTTTAGATTCAATTCTCAGACCTCCTAACCAAATGCAGTAGTGAGAGTGATAACATGTGACTCCTGGACAAAAAAAGCAAATATAATTCTTGCCAAGTTCTCTTTAACTCTATAATGTAAAATTATAAGCAAATGCTCATTCACAGTTTTCTCTCTTTTTTGCTTTCTTAGTATCTCATTCACTTATTGTTTAGTTTTTGGTGCTGGAGATTGAACCTGGGGACTTGCCCATACTAAGCACTTCCTCCACCAATTAACACCCCTAACCTCATTTATTTATTTAATTTGACATTTATCACTCAATTATTTATGTTGTGGGACTTAGTATTTGTCTAACTCCCTCATTAGTTTGTGAATTTGGGGGGGGTGGATATTTTGCTTACAACAAAATATTGGTTTTAAATCGAGCCAAGCGAGGTAGCACATACCTATAATACCAGCTACTTACCAGGCTGAGGCATGAGAATCAAAAATTCAAGGGCAGCCTGGGTAACTTAATAAAGCCATCTCAAAATATATATATATATTTTTAAAAGGGCTGGGAGTATATGTAGGTTAGTGGTAGAGCACTTGTTAGAGGCCTGGGTTCAATCCCCAGGACTGCTAAAGGTGGGAGGGGAAGGAATTGAGTTTTTTAAAAAATGAATAGATGGAGCTTTTGTATCTTATCCAATTATACATTAAAGAGGTCTAAAGAGATATAATCTTTTCCCAAGCGCATTCCAAAAAAAGCACAAAGCTAACCATGCATTCAAAACCAAAGTGTTTTATTTCACTTCTATTCACCCTCCTTGCTGGAAATCTTTAGAAAATGCAAACAGATTAAAAGATAATTTTTTCAACTTCTTTTAATAGTTCTGTACATTTAAATTGGGACGAATCTATTTCAATAGCTTCTGAAGCCAAAAATACTTTATATACTGAGATCAAAACCCAGCCCTAGTAACTTAATTCTAAAATTTGCCATTTTTAGTAATACTTCCTGATACTCAATGTGTTATTGTAGAAATAATTACTGCAATATGCCAACTAATTTCATAACAACTATTGAAAACTGTCGTAATTACAAGATGAAACGCAATGCTATTTTTCCCTTTATAACAAAGAGTTACATGTTACTACTGGAAATCTTTACTTTCTTCCTTGAAATGCCAGAAATTCTTCTGTAAAATAAACACATCTTGTCAAGACTCTCTGGAACTAGTATAATTACCAGAGGCAATCCCTGTGTAAGATCAAAGAAGCAAAACAATAATAGGCAACGTGTGACCTCTACCATGTCACCAGAGACCAATTTTTCAACAGGGAAAAGAGTCAATAATCCAGAACAGAAAACATTAAATAACGAGAAATGCTTCCAAAGTGTGGCTTACCACATCCATCAAGGCAGCCACAGAGAGAATTTAGTCTCTATGGTTTCAGAGAGCAAACTTCTGGGGATTTATCACAACAATCATTAAAATCTGCATAAAACACCAGAGGCAAAAACTAATTTCTCAAATGCAGAGTACAATTTCAAAAGATACTACTACAACAATTTTCTGAATTTCAACTGATATTTTAGTGGAAAAGGCATAGAAAACTATACATTTTTCACATAATCCACCTAATTTCTCTAACTATCCACATACAATTTTCCCATGATTGTTTGGAAAGTGGGCTAGTACTAACCAGATAAACCTAATTAGTAGTAATGCCTCAACCACTTTTACAGGGTTTTTTGGGTTTGTACTGTGTTTGTTTTGGTGGATCGCTAAATCCGAAACAGTCCCATTTGTAATGCACTTGGATGACTAAGAATTACGAGAGTGCTGGGCTGGGGTTGTTGCAGCTCAGTGGAAAAGTGCTTGCCTCACTTGTGGAAGGCACTGGGTTCAATCCTCAGAACCACATGAAAATAAAATAAAGGTGTTTTGTTCATCTACAACTAAAAATATATATATATTTAAAAAGAATAATTATAAGAGTGCAAAGAGGGATAAATTCAGGAATGACAATCAGTAATGACAGTAAAAGAGAAGTACATCTAAAATTGACTTTTAAAAAACACTACACATCCAATTGTGCTTTAGAATCAGAAAATTCACCAATTTTTCTAGGGTACTACTGCCCCACAACTATATTCTTTCAAACCAGATGAGTTGGGAGCCTTACAAATTGTATCTAAATTGTTTAACTTGTGAAACACATGATCTGCTGTAATTTAAAAGAAAAAGCACTGGAAATCCAAAGCAACTATGAACAGTATTTTCTTATCAGGATTGGTTCCTACTACCCCCTTCATCTTTCCATTCTGTCTTCTGCCTGTCTGTCCATCTTTTTATCTTATTAACATTGCTAATTGTATTTGTCAGTTTTGCCACAATTTCAATGCTACTTAAAACAGCTTTGGGTTTTCTCTAGGCAATTATCAGTCACTACACTTAGGTTTCTAAATTAGTTGTTGAAAGGTGCTTTAATCTTGAGAAAATAACACACAGTGTGCTAAGCTTCACATTTATGTGTATGTTCCTTTCATGGAAGTATTTATTTTAAAAGGATTGAAAACAATTACATACATTATTAATAGATATATTAATTGTAACTGTGATACTAATTTATAAATTAAAAAATATTTAACAAAGCCTATATAGTATGCTCTTCATCATTTTATCTTTTTTCCATACTATACATTTTGGCATATATGCTTTCTATATATGTATATATACATATATTTAATGTATAAATTGTATATCAAAAATATTGCCAAATCCCTCTATCAATAGTCTCCTTTCACTACTCATTTGCCAGGTGGCTAACACCTTTCAAAGCTATTCACAATCATATAAGTGGTCTCCTGAGGTCATGGACTGTGACAAACAGAACTTTCACAACTTGTAGATTTTCCCCTCCTTTTCTATTTCCTTCCAAAGAGAAAAATTCTATTATTATATTGCTTTTTACCTCCCACGGTGCTGAGATTGAACTCAGGGCCTCTCATATGCTGCTGAGCAAGTGATCTACCACTGAGCTCCATCTCCAGCCCTATAGTACTTTACTTATTCGCTATTCTTGACTCTGACATTGATTTTCTTCTACAAAATGTATGAGAAACACATTTAGTGAGAAATACAAGTTTAAGGTTAGTCGTCAACTGATACCCCCCCCATATATCAATTATCCACAACTGAATTTAAAAATTCATAATCCATAAGGTGGGGGGTAGGTAGTTCAGTGGTAGAGCACTTGCCTAGCATGGGTTCAATCCCCAGAACCACTGAAGAAAAATTTAAAAAAGATCTGTAAGCCAGAAACATTACACTTCGTGTGCCATTTATTTCCTTTATAAATTAAATTCAAAAATACCTTTTTATAGAGTTAACACATTTTGAAATTTTTAAAGTTTAATAATACATTGTGTATGGGTAAGATTAAAAGTAGGTAGAAATATTTTTAAGTTAGTGTAAACTCATTTGTTACTCTCACCTCCCACTTTCTGCTCCTAGGAAAGAAAAAGGTGATATTTCAACAGGGCAAAATTCTTCACTGAGACGGAAACATTAAAATGATAAATATTTTGGAAAGTAAAGTACACTTCAAACCCACACTGTTCTTTCGGTCCTATATTAACTCTTACAGTCATTGCCAACATTTGGTAAAGATTATCCTTCCATTAGATAAAATTGAGCATTCCTTAGATAAATCGGGAGTTTTTGCCATGAGACTCATAAAACCTTTTCACAACACAGATTTTCAAGAGAATCCTTTAAGGTTTTAGGAGGCTGCTCCTTTTACTAAGTAACAAAATACACCCCATGGTGTCTCACTGACCCCACTCAGCTGTCCTTTGACCTCGTCAATTGTTGGAGCCTAACTCCAGGGCCCACAGAATTTGCCTCCCATATCAAAAAGGCTAATGTTGCTTCCTCCCAGCACCTGGTGAAACAAAATGCAACAGTTCTCTCCTCTCTCTTGCCTCCTCCTTTCCCTCTCGGACCATTTTCCAGATGTTCCAGACCCAAATGTTAAGCTAACACTAGGTTTCAGTATCTGCGTGGTCACCATGAAGGAACAAACAGGGACCAGGCTGAAGTGGCAATGACCCTCTTGTTCTTTCTGGCCTCAAAAGGATACAGCAGGTCATAAAAGAGGAAAAGATCTTTGGCCTCTCTTGGAAATGCCAGGCTATTTAAGCACATTGTAACTCCCAAAAGGAGAGACACAGTCTTGGATTATGTCCCTTATGACAGAGAAGAGTTACCTAAAAGAGTAACCTTAAATTCTCAGTCCCAACCAAGTTTTTTTGATTTTTGTTGACGTAGGAGGAGGAAAAAAAAAAAAAAGCAGTGTCACTTTTTCCCTTTGCTAAACTAAAAGTCTTACGTAATTCCATATACATCATAATTAGAAAATATACAGATATTTCTCCTTCCTAAATTCCAGTAAAAAATTCTTACAGAATCTTGATAACGTACATCTCAGGATAGTGTTATATGAGACAGATATTAAGTATATGTAGTCACTAGGAAGTTTGGGTTTTTCTGCAGAAGCCCAATCTAGAAGTTTCTCATTAGAAAATTTGAAATATAAAATCACAACAAAGGGGAATCAAAAGCTGAATTCTTATTTTCTTAGTTTAGGTATACAGGGAATACAGAGGTTGTTGTAGGGGGAAAAAACATGGCTACATTTTGTTGGGGGAGTAGAAAGGCAGAGGAGGAGAAAGGCAAACACAGTGTGGGGAGGGGGGAGTAGCAGTTCATAGAAATATCTGCTTAACCAGTTTAAGGACCAAACACATTAGCTTTATGTAAATTCTAAATATACCTTCCTGAAACAAATTTGATCTTGAAAATTTGATGGGACATAATTAAGTGTACAATACCTTGGTTTGTTTATTAACATTTTTGAATCATGTTCATGATTAAGTTGGTCAGTCAACACTTCCAGGGAGCTTGCTGCCTAGAATATAACTTGCTTAGGGCTTTTTTTAACCTGCGAAAATATAAAAAACAAAATATATATGTACATACACATACAAACAGTTAATTTCCAAATGCTTTATATTCTATGATTATCTATAATTCCACAAAAATAACAATTAGAAATGAATATGTATCAAAGTCTTATACAAATCCATATACATCACAACTGGCAAATTTTACAGATATTCCTCCTTCCTAAATACTTACCAAATAATCCCTCCTAATTATATGTACTTGAAAATATTTTCTGTTGTTTGTAAGATTCTGCCCCCACTAAACCTAAGTTGAATAAGTCTATCTATTTTGTATTTTTGACAAACATTACCATAATTGTAGAATGCCCACAGAATATTTTAATTTTAGGAATGAAATTAGTATAAGGCAATTTTCTTATTCTAAGGCGTTTTGAGTGTTTTATAATCCCTGACATCTGGTCAAAATTAATCTACTCAACTGTCAAAAATGTGAAAACATGGGCTGGGGCTGGGGCTGGGGCTGGGGCTCAGTGGTGGAGTGCTCGCCTAGCACGCATGAGGCACTGGGTTTGATCCTCAGCACCACAAAAAGTAAAATAAAGATATTGTGTCCACCTAAAACTAAAAAATAAATTTAAAAATGTGAAACATAACATCAATAGAAATTATTTTTCTTTTTGTAAATTAATGGTCTAATTTCCAAGAAGAAAGTCTACAAGAAGAAAAAGACCTACTGTTTCCTACCCTCTTTTTTTTTTTTTAAGAGAGAGAGGAGAGAGAGAATTTTAATATTTATTTTTTAGTTTTTGGCGGACACAACATCTTTGTTTGTATGTGGTGCTGAGGATCGAACCCGGGCCGCACGCATGCCAGGCGAGCGCAATACCACTTGAGCCACATCCCCAGCCCTGTTTCCTGCCCTCTTGAGCATTGTTCTCAGAAAATGTTAATTATAATTACATATAATTGGTTTTATTCTCTTCACTAAATAGGTTATGGTCCATATAAACTATTGCATAGAAAATTTGGAAATATAAGAATGAAGTGAAATAAAACTATCTCATTGATTTTTATGTATAATTTAGAAGTATTTCTAGTCCTTTGTTTCTGTGTCTAAAAAGAAAACAAAAGATCTTTTTAAGAATGTACTAATTTTAATGTAAATATTTATAGCACTAAAATATTTAAAGAACTGTTACCTTATGTTTTCTAAAGAAATGGGATTTGTTTTACTTTCTGATATGCCAACTTAAGAGAAAAGAACTACTAAAAATTCTGGATTAAAAACCTTTATCTTACCTCTCTTACTGTCAGAAGGGTGTCTTCACGCAAAAGAATAATTAAAAATGCAGAACCTAGATTTTCAAATTCACATACTTTCCACCCACACACAAGTAGACATCTTTTCTGAGTCAGGAGAGCCTTGCTACCTACAGGCGAACCCAATATTACCCCATATGGTCAACAAGGTCAAACTGCATTACTGCTAGTGAAAACTATATGACTCCACAAGGACCTTAATGATTTTTTTTTAAAGGTCAGTAATCCAATTCCAATAGCTTTGGAGTCTAAAATTGCTAATTTTTGGCCACGTGCTGCACACTTCACCTGCAAGTAATGACATTTTTGTATTTTCTTCTAATTACACTCAAAGCTAAGACCTTTGGCCCTCGGCCACAGACCCCTATTCAGGCTGCACACATTCTCTTAAACGACCTGATCCTTTGTTGTCACTCTTACTCTTTCATCTATTATTTACACCCATAGAGAAGGAAGATACTCTACCATTTGTATAGCTTAAAGCTTCTAATCATCTTAATTTCTTTGCCTTTCAACCTATGGTCTTTTTCATGGACAATGCCAAAAGTTTGACAAAATCATTTTTTTCCCCAATTACATCATCCTCTTTCCCCTTTTTTAATGTCCCAACTAACATCCTTTTCTGTTCCTTGTCATACACAGAAGGGACTTTGTATCAGCCAGGATTTACAAATTTTGACCTTCACCAACAAAATGAAGGCAACACAAATCTCCAATTTGTTCTGATCAATAACACGTATATTTCTTTCTTTGATCAAAGAGTCCATTAAGTGAAATCAGAGGTTACTTGAAATAATTTAAAATCTGGCTCCTGCCTCCTTTAAGCATAAGCATAGAATTTTCAGGATTCCCTTACAAAAATAACAAAAGTCATTCAGAAAAGAGCAAAGATTTTAGTGAAATGACCAAAACTTTTCAAACATTTTACTATATTCAATTATTGTTGTTTGCAACGCAGAAAATAAAACAAAAAAGCCCTAAAAGTTCAGTTTTAATCTAACTTTAAAATATTTTCAAAGACTACTAACCCTTCACACAGCAAAATCCTCATACAAAACATTCTCTATTATTATTGTTATTTCCCAACACTTTTCCCAGACTTAAAAAAAAAAAAATGTCCGAACACATTTTACAAATCTGAAGTACAGAATCGTTTACCATGATGCAGATGTCCTCCTCAGATCACGATAGCCACCAAAAGATTCTGACTCCCAAGATGTTTATAAAATGACATCTGATCCATCTTTGCTCTCTTCCTCTATTGCTCAGCTTACTCTTGATTTCTAACAGTGTTTCCTTGTTGTCTGTCCTCTCTGCAGACCCTGAAACCCCTTGTCTTTTCTTATTTTCACCATTTGCTTCAACCAGCAGTTCACTGGAGACCCATCCATCTTGTAATGCCTAAAGTGACAGATGCTCTCAGGAACGACCACACTGCTGAGTGAACAAAAGATAACATCACCTCCAGGAACTCCAGAGAGAAATACAACTGCAACCTTAAGACAGGAGCTGACTTGACAGACATTGGACCATAAACCTCTTCTAAGAGAGAAAGAAAACAATTGCCACACACACAAAAAAAAATCTGACACAATCAAAGGCAGAAAAGAGTGATTATTTGTGGATTGCCTTTTCACTCTAACTCACTTTCCACCCCTGCTCAATGCTTTTATATTGGGGCAATTCACTTGCCAAGAGGCAAGAAAAGTTCTTGGGAAAAGAAGCCTCTCTCAAGTATCTCTTCTTTTATTCAACAATATCCAAAGTGAAATTCATTCACATGTGTTTCAGGAAATCTAAGACTTGGATTCGGCATTCTTAAACCTGACCCTTCTCGTTTGCATAAAGCAATATCTGGACTTAGAAATGCTGACTCAATGCTACTGCTATGAAAGACACACGCATGCTTTGCAAATTAAAAACACATTAGAAATTAAAAAGCAATGTGTGGCACAATGTCAACAATACGTGCAGCTCATTAAAAAAAAAAACCTCACTATTCACCATTCATTCATCAGACAACCTCCAACTTGGGTTAAAAAGACAGTTAACAAGAGGATTCTGGGAAGGACAGATCTCTCTTCTAACAAAGGGAAGGTCATATGAACATCTCCGAGTCACAAACTAATGACAGGGAAGCTGTAGATGCAGAGGACTCTGCCTCATGCCATCTAGGGCTTTGGATTTTGTTGTTTAAAGCATCTTATTTAAAATTATCATATAGCAGTAGAAAATAAATAGAACTCTAATATTTAGATATTGAAAAGAAAAAAATTCTGTAGAACACAAAAGCAAACACCAAGCTGGAGGTCAATTAAAAACATTGTGTGATCAATGTCAATTATGGAGATTAACCACCGATTTTTTGTTTTTTGTTTTTTTCAACAATAGACATCGAGTGACACAGAAGAAAAGCTCTGATGCAGGGAAATATGTTATCATTCTTTAAAAGGACACACAATGCAAATATATATATATGTATGTTATATTCCAAGAGCCAAAATGCTCAAGAAAAGTTCCATCAATAATATTTCTAAGAAGAAATATGAACATTTACCATGGCACTTGTTTAGTAAAAATATTTTAATTTTTCTTTAAAAGTTTTGCACACAAAACCTTTAAGTTTGCACACAGTAGTTTTTCCTTGGAATCAATGACTCCTTCCACCCATTTTCCCCCTCTTAAATATATATACGTATACGTAAAATTTAAAAGACATTTTATCTACTAATTATTTGGGGTGGGTAAAATAAAATTTTCCAACTTGATAAGTCAGCATATCTCTTATTTAAACATTTTTATGTCTCTCCTAGTTCCTCCAACACTTTATTGTATCTCTACAAATAACACAGTACAATATTTCACAACCTCATAATTTTCCAGTTTTTTAAATTCGCGTTTATTTTGTACACATAGAATGTATATGAAAAATAAAATGATGTGTACAATTATATAACTCAATGGAAAAGGTTAACCTTCTAGAATGTTCATTTCTTTAAAAAAGAAAATTGTTCTTGATATGGACTTGGTCTTTAACTAGAAGACTTCGTTTGAACACAAAAACCTAAAATAATGGGTCAAAACTTGATTTCAAAAGTATCACATTTTTCAACATTCTCAAACTTTGGCATTAATACCAAGAGAGAAACATGACCTTGAAATGACAGCTCCATTGCAGAAGGCTCAAAAAAAGAAAAAACAATTAAAACAATAGGATCAATATGCATGCAGGAAAAGTATACCCCTGTGGAAAGTTCTTATTGCCTGACTGATCAAAAACAAAACAAAACTTTTCTTTTTTAAGGGCCCTTTCCAGATCACAGTCAGTGCCAGAAATCCACACAGGAAAAAAATCCATCAAAATGAAGCCCTAAAAGGGTTTACCCTTCACCATCCTATTTGCACTTCAAAACCCTGTTAGTCCTTCAGTTAAACCCTAGGGCTGAACCATTTCAATAATAAGAGAGGTGGCCAGCAGTGATTTATCTCCCATTTGGCTTCTGGATGGAGCTATAATGTCTAGGAAGCTTCCCTTCCCTGACTTAAACCCTCCCCCAAGCCTCTACCTTGCGTTGTGCAGCCTGGGATCTGCAATACCTTACAATTAGAATCAAGAACTATCTGAAACTCAAGATTTGGGCACATTTTCTTGGCAATAATTTCACAAAACAGAATGTTTCTAAGTAATCAGAGCATCGCAAATACCAGGTTAAAC